TTAAAATTTTTAAACTGACAAGCCTTAAAACACACAAGAATGATAAACTTAAGAGGATGCAGCACTGGCCCGATCGTTCAGATAGTTTTAGGCGGGGCTGATGCCCACATAAAAAGGGTCTAGAACCACCCCTGTCGCTATACACCATACAATACAATTTGCAGAAAGAGAAAGCTGAAAACCATCAGAAGAGACAGAAAATAACTTTCTTACAGTATTAATGCATTAGAGCATGTAGCTATAGATCGGATCGTAAAAGGGAAATTATTCATAAGTGTTTTGAACGCTTTTGCGAACGCGTTTTGAAGCCGTTGAACGAGCGTCCGGATGCAGTCTCGGATGAAAGTCTTGATGGTTTGGAGGTGGTGTTTGAGTCGCGATCACGTTCTTCCGGGTTTGAAAAGTGATGAACTCCAAAAAGATGTTATTCTGGCTCTGTAGTGGTCGGGAGAGTGATAATATTATCCTGTGCGAATCGGCATCTCTGTGATTTGGCCTGGATTTGGTGGTTTTTGTTTCATGTGCACCTTTTTATCCATCTTTCGAGAAGAATGGAGGCTGCGTTGGAGTGTTTTGATAGTATTTTGGGTGCTGGGTCATATCACTATACAGTACAGGGGCGGTTCTAGGATTTCATCCACAGGCGGGCTGAGCCCTCAGACAATTAGATAGATACAAATTACCTAAATTGTATGGAGTAAATATACACAAATATCCATTAAAGCTACAGAAGTTACTTCGTTAATGACGAGAAATGTACTTAGTAGAAATGCACAAGTCCGTTATGCACATCCGATATTTTCTTAACGTTCACTTAAGACGTAACCAACTGTTTTTACGTCCATACTCATCAAGATAGCCATTCAGAGATAATTTTGTGCCAATTTGCTCAAGACGTGAAAAAAAAACTCATTTTGGTATTTGCTTGCTGTCTGAGAGATGGCTGCCTTGTGTGCGCGCACAGAGACGATCTATGACAGTGCGCGAGTACCGCATTGAGATCTCTTTCGTGCCGTCTTGTGCTTGAATAGCTTAAAATTTTTAAACTGACAAGCCTTAAAACACACAAGAATGATAAACTTAAGAGGATGCAGCACTGGCCCGATCGTTCAGATAGTTTTAGGCGGGGCTGATGCCCACATAAAAAGGGTCTAGAACCACCCCTGTCGCTATACACCATACAATACAATTTGCAGAAAGAGAAAGCTGAAAACCATCAGAAGAGCAAAAACAAAAAGAATGATTAGATGGAGATGGATGACATGTAGCCTATAGCAGCATGTGGTAAGAAACATTCATATCTGGGAGATAAGTCAGTAAATTCGAGTAAAATCACAGGCTTCGCTTATCCCGTGTGAATGCGCCACACGAAATTCAGATGTGGGGGGGGTAATTTCTAAATCACACGGTCCCCAGATAAAGCCCCGTTCACACTGCCAGCGACTTTTTCGCTGTATGCCTTTAATACTAATCCCGTGCGAATAGGGTTTAAGAAAGGATATTTTCGTGGCCACAGAAAATAACTTTCTTACAGTATTAATGCATTAGAGCATGTAGCTATAGATCGGATCGTAAAAGGGAAATTATTCATAAGTGTTTTGAACGCTTTTGCGAACGCGTTTTGAAGCCGTTGAACGAGCGTCCGGATGCAGTCTCGGATGAAAGTCTTGATGGTTTGGAGGTGGTGTTTGAGTCGCGATCACGTTCTTCCGGGTTTGAAAAGTGATGAACTCCAAAAAGATGTTATTCTGACTCTGTAGTGGTCGGGAGAGTTTTCTCCCAGATGGAAAGTGATGAGACAAGAGAGCAGAGCTAGAGAGACATCAGCTGAGATTCAAGGATCTTTGGTGAATGGAGAGACAAGGCCGCAGCCTGGCACAAACTTAGGAGGTCCTTCGAAGGCTCTAGCTCAGCATCCTCACCTTCTCAGAATCTAAAAGAACCTAGACTGAAGGCGGGTCACTGATGTGATTGCCTTTATCTTCTATCGAGGTCACACCTCTGGGGATCAAAGAGCCAATGGTGTCTTGAAATTTTGGAGGGAAAGTTTCCGACTCTTTGTCTCCAAGCATGGTATTTTGCATATGTAACTAGATTGGATGTTGATATACAAATTCTTAAAGATTCTTTGAACACTAATATGTTGCATATGCATCAACATATAATATACACTCCCATTTAGATCATCAGAATACGAATTCATAGAGACCAAACATGGTATAAGTGAGGTGATATTAACTAGTGATCATCTATCATAAGCATGCATAAAACAGTATACAATACACAAGACCATATACAAGAACGTAATAATCATACACAATGACCTGGGGATATGCATGATAGGAAGGTTATAGAAAAAAAAAAAGTCTATGAATTAAATGAAAGAAGTCATTTCCTATAGCAGTATGTGTCTGTTTTAGAAAGAATTAAGTAGGGGGGGGAGATTCTCTCTACATACTTTTAGGTCGTAAAGTTTATCTATTCAGATGTGGGGGGTGTAATTTCTAAATCACACGGTCCCCAGATAAAGCCCCGTTCACACTGCCAGCGACTTTTTCGCTGTATGTCGCTAGACTCTGTGCTGTGAAGACGCTTGTGGGCGTTCCTACTGCTGTCGCTCTAATGTTATTGGTAAGTTAGACTGCTCGTCTGGACATATAAAATGCAATCACAAACTATGTATATTGCCGGTAAAACGAAGATATCATTCTAATATGACTAGGAATTAGACTTAAAAGAAATAAAAGTACCATTCTGCTGTTGGAGAGTGTTGTTATATAAACTACAGCAGTGCTCATGCATTAAATCATTAACCGGTGCTAAACTGCTCACTGCATCATATAATTAATTCAATTCATTCATTAATAATTAACAACTCGAACCATCAATGTATGAATCAAACTCACTTAGACAGCCAACGGTTT